CTCGCTACGAATACCACCCATACTCGCTACAACTATCACCCGTACTCGCTACAAATATCACCTGTACTTGCTTCAAATATCACCCGTACTCGCTATTTTCTGAAAAGTGCAACCAGTACTTTTCACCCGTACATTTATATACCTCGGAGTCAGGGTACAGTTCAAGGATAGACACTATATGGTATAAGCTATGGCAGTAACTCACTTCATCTATTTCACAGGATACACAACTTTGCAATAACTCACCTCATCTATTTCACAGGGTACACAACTTTGCAATAACTCACCTCATCTATTTCACAGGGTACACAACTTTGCAATAACTCACCTAATCTATTTCACAGGGTACACAACTTTGCAATAACTCACCTCATCTATTTCACAAGGTACACAACAACTTTGCAATAACTCACCTCATCTATTTCACAGGGTACACAACTTTGCAATAACTCAACTCATGTATTTCACAGGGTACACAACTTTGCAATAACTCACCTCATCTATTTCACAGGGTACACAACTTTGCAATAACTCACCTCATCTATATCACAAGGTATACAACTTTGCAATAACTCACCTCATCTATTTCGCAGGGTACACAACTTTGCAATAACTCACCTCATCTATTTCGCAGGGTACACAACTTTGCAATAACTCACCTCATCTATTTCACAAGGTATACAACTTTGAAATAACTCACCTCATCTTTTTTACCGGGTACAGAACAACTTTGCAATAACTCATCTCATCTATTTCACAGGGTACACAACAACTTTGCAATAACTCGCCTCATATTTTTCACAAGGTATACAACTTTGAAATAACTCACCTCATCTATTTCACAGGGTACACAACTTTGCAGTAACCCACCTCATCTATTTCACAGGGTACACAACTTTGCAGTAACTCACCTCATCTATTTCACAGGGTACACAACTTTGCAGTAACTCACCTCGTCTATTTCCGAGATATCAATCTCATTTTCCACATAATTTTGGTAAAGTTCTTCAATAATAAACTTTCTGTTAATAAATTTGGGTTTAGACCAGACCCACACATGATTATTTTCCTTATCCACAATTCTTACTTCTACTTCTTTGGCTTTATCACGCCCAAGTGCATCATGCGAAGCTAAGTTTTTAATATAAGGTTCAAACACTAGTTTCTGTAAAATTCAAAAATATTATATATAGTTGAATCTGTTGCATTGATTTGTGATCTCAGCTTGCCCTGTATATATAAATGGAGGCAGATCACAGAATAGGGTGGAGAGATGGACTACAAAGGGTAGGAAAGATCACTGCATATGGTAAAAAGATCATAGTATAGTTGAAAGGCCATCCATGCATACAGATTAACCATATAGAAGTTTGATAGTAATTACCTAATTAGAATGTAAAAAGAGAAAAAAAGGAATCTTTAAAGAAACAATTTGATGGAATTTAAAAGCATTTGAAAATTAGAGGGTGCATCATGTACATGTACAGCAACACAGAAACAAAAAGTGTTGAAGATATCCATGTTGTTAATTTAAGTTGAATGATCTGACTCTTTCTTATATTCACAAAGTCGTCAGACATTTTGCCACTACATGTTACTATGGCTTTCCCTTCACTTCATTACAGGCAAGCCAAAAAAAAATGAATTCAATCAATTTTTGAAAACAAATTCGCCAGAATCTTTGTATTGCTGGGTCTTATTGAATAGAATGGTTTTGTTTTTTTAATGTATGTCTGTGCACACATGTTCCACAGGTTAAAACCTATGCAGAAAACTACAAACACCAGAACTAATCTTGTACCAAAAGTATGGAAACACCCTATAATCAATTTTTCCCAAAAAAACATTCAAAAAATTCTTTCTCAAACAAAATTCAAGCAAAGCCAACTGATCATTTTTGAATGGTTTATTTTATAAAATGTAATCCAAGCATACCTTGCCGAGTTCTTCACTGATGGCATTTACTTCCGCAGTCATTGGTAATATTTTAATAAAGTCATCATAAATTCGCAAAGCTGCTGGATCAGGTCCTGCATCTTTGTCTTCTTTCTGAAAAAATTGTTCATTACCAAATCCTTCAGCTTCTGCCAACTCAGACTGGAAGAATTCGTAATCGTATTTGTTTATGTCATCCTTGTTTTTTCTTTCATGCGGGAAACCAATATATAAGAAGATACTGTTAGATCCAAGCTTGATTCGATCCTAAAATAAAAAAAATACAAATTTGTTTGATATTATAAACTATACAACCTTGCTTTATTGAGAATCTAGTTTAATAAATGAATAATGATTGGTGATGGATACACACTAACACTTTAATGACACAATGCTGAAATTTAGGTGGGTACAATTTGATTATAAGTAATTACATAACAACAATTATTAATATACATGTTCCTCAATTAACACTACATTCATCTCAATGTCTCTTATAGAATAATATAATATCAAATGTTTTGTGGGAAAAATAGTTTGTTGACGGCAAAATGCATTTATAATATAATACCTAATGAAAATAACATCACATTTTGGACCCTCCACATCTGGTTCTCATTATCAGCATTATAAATGTCCCCATTCTATTTACTTATTTCTATGTATAAAAATGTTTTATTTCAGCCAAATTTTGTTCAATATCTTGAAAAATACATAAGCTTGTCACAAAATTGAACTGGTTTGATTTTTTCAAAATTGTAATATAGCATGTAGCATCACAAAGCTTAATTAACCTATGATGATTTAACATTCAGTTGACACCACATCATGATCATCTTCAGTCTGCCTTTTTTTGGTTTAATTATTCTGATATTATATTAAATAAAAACAATTTGAAATATACCAGCATGTTTAGTCATTTAGAAACAAGTGTGTCACGAAACATATATGAGAGTAAGATTGTTTAGCGCCCTCTGTGACACCTTTGATAAATGTTTTTGTTTTTCTACTCACCAGATGTCTGAGTTCGATTTGTTGTACAACATGTAGTCCATTAACTATAGTCTTAGCAACATCTATTGGTTCTAATGTAACACTAGTTCCAGTGTTACATACAAGTACATGGCTTCCTTGAATTCTGATCAAAGTATAATGAGATAGAATTAGAACATACGCTAAGTATTAAGTGTGTTTTACACAACTCAACTGAACCAGAACTGTTTCTGTTAACGGTACTAAAAAATACTAGGTAGGCAGGCAGGGTTTTAATTACATTTTTCTCAATGATTTGTATTTTTAGTGTATTGCCGAAACATAATGTTTTCAATGTAGGCATGAAAAGTGTCACAATTTAGTTTTCATTACTGGAAGTAAACAACTTAAAAAATTACAACAGTAGTGGAATGGCCATAGATAAATTGCATAAAATGAACTTTGCAATTACTGTAGACACATGATTTGGCCAAGGAAAACATTTCAACACAAGCGATAATAGTGTGCATGAACGCTTATCTTCAGTAAATACACAAAGCTATATGTTCATATAATATCAAAGTTATATTCATTGATTTATGCAATAAATAATTAGTATTGGATTTTTACAAATTAATCTGCGTAGTGTTATAGTAAAAGTAATTTTATATCAGCCACTCTTGAGTCACTGTCAATGTCAACCCATTTTATAAAAATTAATGTTCTAATATCAAAAATATAGAATACATGACCTCAAAGATTTTAAAAATCTTGTTTTTATGAATTATTATTACTACAGGGTTTACTTACCCAAGTCCTTTAAGTTGTATTTTATTTCCTTGTGGTGTGTTACCAGCTCTTCCAATCACTGTTTGACCTTCTGGTAGTGGGTATTTAATTACACCACACAACTGCAGATCTTCATTCACATTTTGCAAGAATGGGTACTGCTTAGTTAAGTTATCACTCTGTTGATCAATAAAAATAAATATAGTGAAAATTTTGTTTTCAAATTTTGCATCTTGATCTTTTTAGTTTACAGACACATCTATTGAATACATGTTTGACAGAAAGCATGGCAATGTTTTAAAATGCGACTCGTATAAAACAAAGTAAAATTAAGTGTTGACTGAAGATTACAAGTTTTAGTAGATTGCAAATAAAAGTGGAATGCTACTTGTGCATTATGACATAAGCACATTAATATATATATAGCAGTAACCATAACCTGTTTACTTTTAATTGTTTTATCATAAGTCAACAGTATGTGGACTATTTCAAGGCACTGTCAACCTTTTTATATCAAATATTATTCAAAAAAATTACAATTTAGTAAAAGTTTCCATAGACCATAATAAAAATATGCTTCACTATTAAAAACTCTTTAAAAATAATTTAAATTTGTTAATACTTGTAGACAAGAACAAATACATTGTAACACATTATACATCACCATCATTGATCAAAATTTTGAAATATTGGGATTTATCCTTGCACTCGGAAACAATACCCTCAAACCTAGTTTTTCTCAGAACCAAGTATGGTGACCCCCATATTTTTTATTTCCTTTTCTTCATTCCTGGTTACATAAACTCCCACACATAACCTTATTTTTGTTAATGAGTTTCCACTTTTTACCTTAAATAAATATAAAAAATTCCATCATTCTAAAAGTTATTCTCCATCAGCATTTGAATATTCATCGTTTGTGCGCATATTACGTGTCCTGAGGTCAACAAACCAGAAGGTAGGACAACTTTTATCCATGTTTCCAATTCACAAGCATATAAAATCCTCTCAATTAAATGTGCCATCATTTTTCATCCACTGAAAATTTGATCACTGTTCTGTCTAAGCAAGTAAAACGAATATGTAAATTATCTTTGGTTATATTTTTGGTGGTATTTTGGGAGTTGAAAAACTGTCACTGTTATATTTACTCAGCAAAACACACAAATACCAACTTTCTCCCCTTTTGTACCCACCCACACTCACTTCCCTATCTTTTAACCATTTCAAATATGTCACTGACTTCTTTCGTGGTTGCAAGTGTATTGTTCTTTTGACTTTTTACATTTTTGTCCTACTCTCACCTGTTGCTAGGTAGGTTATGTATGTGTAAAAAGAATTACATCATGTCTGTCGGTAATTCAACAATCGGGAATTGTTCCCACATCTTCTTACTTTCAAGCATATTATATGAACATGTGACTCCATACTGAAAAATGAGGAACTAATTTTTATATGAACATGTGACTCCATACTGAAAAATGAGGAACTAATTTTTATATGAACATGTGACTCCATACTGAAAAATGAGGAACTAATTTTTCAAACTTAAACTTTCAATATGGATTAAATTTGAACTTGGTGACCAGATTAAAAAGTAAGGAACAATACTGAGATGTGAATAGAATAAAGAATCTATTTAGAGATACAAGGAACAAGGAAGTATGGTAAATAAATAAATAAATAAATACAATAGTCTACTTGGGTGTGCCCCAGATGGTTCATGAGGCATAGGTATATAGTGAATATTGAAAGAAACATGACAAATGGCAGCTTGATTACTATTCATGAACTATACCTCAGATACGGAAACAGGATGGATTTTCTCCCATTCTTTTCTGGCTTCTTCCAATCTTTGTTCCCAAGCTGTATTTATTTCAGACATTTTTCTCTCATTTTCCTTCAGCAACATTTCCAGATCTAAGAAAATATAACCATTGGAGAAAACACATTTTAATTGAAACCTAACAGTTATTTGATTAATACAGTATTAGATTCAAACACATTATAAGTACCGGTACATTGGGAGCGAGAGAAAGAGTGCAAGTGGTTACATTTCCATTGGTCTCTGCCATATTAGTTGAAGGATGATGGTCGTTGTACAGCGAGCAAATTTAATTTTACATAAATAATGTATTTCACTGGCATTATTTATATTGTACAAGACCCATATCAAAAGCATTATGACAACCATCATCCTTTAAAATACTGACAAACGTCTATAAATATTTATTCCACTGGTAGATAAGTAGAGATACTAAAGAATGTTAGGAACAATCAGGCATTTTATTAATATCATTAATATTTAAGATCTGACAAAAAAAATGTTAAAACATTTAGAAAACTACATTTGTTTAGCTATCTGATAAATATCTATTTTAATTCTATATACTGACAAACTACTGTATTAGAACATTTTACTGGAGAAGTAATCTATACATTGGATCACTGAGAATGTCAACATCAAATTTTTAAATTTCTTGTTCTTGTTGGGTCAAAGGTTATACAGTTAATGGATTTGTGGTGCAATGAAATACAAAATATCAGTCAACTGGAACATGTGCTGTTCTATGTAGTTACCATTTTCTGAATAATCCTTGTCCTTGAAAAACCTCTCAATATATTCAGAAACTTGGAATAAAGAATCAAATGAATAGAAGAAAAAAATGAATAAAATTGAATAACATTGTCATTTTGAAGGAAACGAGCATTTGTGTAGCATCACCCATGATGTGGTATTCTCCCTTGTCTAAACAACAAGTACATACATGCTTTGGGCATGAATCATACCAACTGCAGGCAGTGAATTGTGACTTGTATATAAACCTAAATATCTATTTTACCATTCCTTTCAACTTGTATGATGAGATAATGAATACCGTATTTGCACTATTAGATGCACATCTCAAAAAATTATTAAAAAAATGTATTATATTCTGAATTATTAAAATATGACCAGAGGCTCACATTTATGTACATGTACTACAATATCTTCCTAAAAATGGAACCTATGTGTACATGGTACAGTAAGTGAAATTAACCAAATGAGGACAACGTGTGCAAACGATAGACATTTTTAACTTCAACTGCATTACTGAATTTGTTATCCCAGGAATGTTTACTACCTGAAAAATGCCCTATATAAATTATTTCAACACTACAACACTTATAAATGTAATATTTTATTTTATATATTATATTTTATTTTCTAGTACAGTCAAACCTGTCTATAAAGGACAGTCAGTGGACTGAGCCAAACTGTCCTTTATAGACAGGTGGTCTTTATATGGAGGTGGCCTAATTTATTCATTCATTCAATCATGAATATTAATTAGGGCGGGAATTTTAAGGGAGATCATAAGCAAAACATAAAAACAAACCTACACATTGTACAATGAATAGGTCTTTTTTAATAAAAGTCACTCATTTTCATCTGGATAATTACACAGCTTTACTTTTTTACTACAAATTATATCATGTAAATTCACTGAAACCAAGTGATTCTGCCCATGGATTCATTGGTGTATTTAATGCATAAGAACGATGTCAACGATCG